CAGTTGTTTGGCTGGAATTTACCCCCAAAACTCCAATTATTTGGCTGGAAATAAACATCAGTTCCCTAAAAAAACAGCAGTTGTTTGGCTGGAATTTACCCCCAAAACTCCAATTATTTGGCTGGAAATAAACATCAGTTCCCTAAAAAAACAGCAGTTGTTTGGCTGGAATTTACCCCCAAAACTCCAATTATTTGGCTGGAAATAAACATCAGTTCCCTAAAAAAACAGCAGTTGTTTGGCTGGAATTCACCCCCAATTCCACCAAAACTCCAATTATTTGCCTGGAAATTCCCCTCAAAAAAACTCCAGTTGTCAGGCTGGAAATCAACCCCCCAATTCCCAAAAAAACTTCAATTATTTGGCTGGGAAATCAACCCCAATTCCCAAAAAAACCCTCCAACCCTTTGGCTGGGAAATCAATCCCAATTCTCGGAATGAACACGTGGATCCTTGGAAAGCTCCAACCCCGAGGTCCAACCCGCCCTTCCCAGAATTCCAGCCCCCGATTCCAGGGGTTTAACCGGGAATTCCCTTTGCTCCCACCCTCCCTTGCCGGCGGATCTGGGCTGAATTCCCGGGATTTCGGGTCTCACCTTCCGGCCAGGGCTTGGGGGGGCCCCCGGGGGGCTGTCCCGGCATTCCGGGGGGAACTCCTGAGGGGCCGGGCGGGGGCATGTTGGGCCCTCCCATTCCTGGGAATTCCCAACGGATCCGGCAGAAAAGGGAAACAAAACAAAAGAGGAAAATCCCATGAGGAAGCTGATTCCCGGGGGAGATTCCTGGGGGAGATTCCCAGTGGGAATTTCTCCTCAGATCCCCCATTCCCACCTCCCCTGTATCCCCTACCATCCCAATTTCCCCCCAGATCCCCCATTCCCATCTCCCCTCTGGATTCCCTGGTCCAACCTCCCCCTGTACCCCCCATCCCAATCTCCCCCAGCTCCCCCATCCCCACTCCCATCCCCATCCCCATTCCCATCCCCACTCCCTCACCATGAGGTCTGGAGTACCCGGGCGGTGCCGGCCCCGCTCTGCCCGGATCCCCCATCCCAATCTCCCCCATTCCCATTCCCATTCCCACTCACCATGAGGTCTGGAGTACCCGGGCGGCGCCGGCCCCGCTCTGCCCTGATCTCCCATCCCAATCTAACCCATTCCCATCCCCATCCCCATCCCCGTTCCCTCACCATGAGGTCCGGAGTACCCGGGCGGCGCCGGCCCCGCTCTGCCCTGATCTCCCATCCCAATCTAACCCATCTCCCCCACTCCCATCCCCATTCCCATCCCCATCCCCATCCCCATCCCTGTTCCCTCACCATGAGGTCTGGAGTACCCGGGCGGCGCCGGCCCCACTCTGCCCGGATCTCCCATCCCAATCTAACCCATCTCCCCCATTCCCATCCCCATTCCCATTCCCATCCCCATCCCCATTCCCATTCCCATCCCCATCCCCACTCACCATGAGGTCTGGAGTA